ACAAAGATTAAGAATCACTGCTTTAAAAGAATTTTAAGCAAAGGAGTGATGTGATCAGATTTGTTTTTTTAAAAAGTCATTCAGGTAGTAGAATGATTGGAAAGGTACAAGACTAGAATGAGGGGAGGCAGTGAAGAGGTTAGCTTGGTGAATCAGGCTAAAATGAGAAGGCCTATATAAAAGCAATGGCAGTGGGCGATGCCAATATCAGCTGACATTTCTTTTTAATGCTTACCATGTGCTAGTCACTATGTTCCGCACATTTAAGTCATCTCAGTTAAACTTTGTAACAGCCCTACGAGTTAGCTATTACCAGTGTCCTTTTACAGATAAGCAAACCAAAGCTCCAAAGAGTTCGATCTCTTGTGTAAAGCATGCAGTTAGTAAGGGGTCAGAATTCACTTTGTCCTCTTAACCATTTTCCTATCCAGCCTCCTGAAAGGCAGGTATTTGGTATTGCCACTTGACACCAAGTGACTTGCCAATTTTAGCTGCTATTAAGGGGAAATGCTTGGGTTTAGATCCAAATTGGACTTCAAAATCAATGCTATTAGCCACTATACTAACCTGAAGCAAAAAGGATGGATTTGAGATAATTTTAATACAAGTTGGTAAGCCAATTAGATATGGAATATAAAATGGATATGGATGACTCCTAGGAAATTAGGCATCATTCACTGAAATAGAGAATAACTGCATAAAGAAGGGTTTGAAAGGAGCGTGGAAGGAGAAAGAAGATGACAAAGTCATTTCCGAACTTGAAGAACCTACAGACATTTAAGCTATCCATTGGATAGGATGGAAATCTAGGCCACAGATAGATATTTAGTAGTTTTTGATGCCCTGTATATGAATAAAAGATCTTGCCCTTGCATTGCTAAGGCAAAATGGCATTATGGTTAAGAGTGCAAACTCTGGAGTCAGATTGCTTGCATTCAAATCCTTACTCCAACACTTACCAACTGTGATGCCGGGCAAGTTCCTTATCTCCTCCAATCCTCAGTCTCCTCAGCTTTAAAATGGGTGAGGGTCAATAAAAGAACCTCCTTCACAGGCTGGCCAAGTGGATCCAAGAGGATAACATGTAAAGCTTCAGCATCATACTTGTGTTCAGTAAATGTTAGCTATTTCTGAGGACAAGTCCTACAGAATACCAATACTTAATGCTGGGGTAACAAAAGTAGCCCCCAGAGGAATCTGAGAGGAAGTCATCAAAGACTTAGAAAACAAAGTCTAGAGAAGCAAAAGTTAAGGAAGGTACATGAGTTTCAGGAGAGAAAGAATAGTTGACAATGTCAAGTGCTACAAAGAAGTCAGGAAAGAAAAGCACTGCAAAGCTGAAGTGAACTGAGCAGTCAGTGTCTTTTGGAAGACTAGTTTCAAGGAAGTGGTGGGGGTAAAAGCCCAAGAGAATGACAGCTAAGAAAAGCAGTGTAGACTGTTCTTCCAATAACCTGGCTTCTGGAAGGAAAGATAATAATCATGTTAGTAATTAGTAACAGGTAGTAATTAAAGGGAGGAAGCTAGAGGCGGCACTATTTTATTTTGTTTTAGATGAATGAAATGTTAACATGAGGAAAGAAAGGAGCTGGTAGAGAGGGAGAAGCCGAAAATATAGAAAGAGAAGAAATTTTTAGTGGACTAAGGTATCGGATAAAACAGAAAAAGGGATCCCAGGGCACAGGTGAAGGGATTCACTGTAGATAGGATGAGGTGCCCTATTTCACTGAGAGAGAAAAAAAAAAAAAAAAACACACACAAAAAAACAAGTTTTTGGATAAGATGTGCCTGAAAATTGAGAAGTTACCACTTACGGGCCTCTATTTTCTCTATGAAATCACCACCAACACCATCATCATCATTACCACTAAGGTGCCAGGGACATGACTAGACCTTTTAAAATCACTGTGCTGGGTGCTAGGGATACAGCAGTGAACAGCAAATTATATGGCTCAATTTACCCCATGACAACCCTATGAGACAGACATTCCTACTATCCCTATTTTACCCATGAGGAAGCTGAGGCTTAGAGAAGATAAGCAATCCACGCCCAAGTCACGCTGCAGAGCAAGAGGACCAGCTCACACTGGCTGACTCTCGAGTCTTAAGTCTTAACCATTAACCAAGGGAGGCTGTCTGCTGAGAGTATGTGGGGAGGAGTCTTAGGAGACTTAAAAGAGCAGAAAACTTTAGCTTATCTGCATAGAGACAAATAGAATTCAAGATCACGTCTGCATCAGTTGTAGCAGGATTAGACCTGAGGTGTCCTAGTTTTCATGCAAATTCCCTGCCCAAGAGGTGATATTTTCATTTCAAGGATGTACATCAACATTAAAGGAAGGAGTGCTTTTATATGATAAGGATAATATTTAGTATATTTTGGCACTACAATATCGAATAGTGCTCTTATCTGCTTGAAATGAAGAAATGACTTCTAACACTAGGTATTCAATAGGTCCAAGATGAACATCAGACGTTCTCAAATGTTCAATGTTTTTACTGACAATGATACTATTTTAAGGTTTTGACTGTCACCTTCCATCTAATATATTCATGTGCCACATACGTCAACGATAAACTGTATACACAACCGTGGTGCCGTAAGATTATAATGGAGCTGAAATACGCCTATACCCTAATGACACTGCGGCCATGATGACATCACAGATACCTTTTCTATCTTTAGATACGTTTAGATACAAAAATAGCACTCCGTTACAATTAAGCATGTATGGTATTCAGTACAGTAACATGCTGTGCAGGTTTGTAGCCTAGGTGTGTAGTGGGCTATAACATCTAGGTTTGTATAAGTACATTCACTCTACGATGTTCACATGATGATGAAATTGCCTAATGACGCAATTCTTAGAATGTATCCCTGTTGTTAAGTGAAGCATATCTATAGCTCGAAGAGTTTTAATATCTGTGATTTCATTGCTTATAATATCTCTTGAGAGGAGACTGTTTTTAAATGGAGAAAATCTCATAAAGGTAAAATTGTTTAACCAAAACCAGATCAAAATGGCAAAGTACGAATGAAAACTAGTGATTCCCAGCTCAGGATTCTTGTCTTAAGACTATGAAACTTCCTCGGCAGACATGTGCCAACTCCTCAATCTGCCCCTCATGCCTCCACTGAAAATAAGTACCCTGAATACAGGGATGATGAATACATACAAAAATACTGCTAATTGTTAGCAAGTTTTTTTTGCTTAGGAGAAATACCTCTAAAACTGATTGGAGCCCTTATTGCAGAGATTGAGGGTTTTAAGAACCTTGGAAGAATGACTGAGGCATTCTTCTTGCATACAGGAGGCACTCAAATATTTGCTAAATGCATCATTTCTACCGTTCTTAAAAACTGAGATTTCTGAGAAGAAAGCGGATAGAACAGGAGTGTGAGTAGGTGTGTGTGAGTGAGATAATTCTCAGGCCCCAGGCACATAACTTGGCCGTGTTGCAAACCATTATGGGAGGAAAGAACAAGAGCTCAGCACACCCAGGTTTCCAGAAGAGCAAGCGGCAGGACTAGAGCCCCAGGTGTAATCCACGGCAGGATCAAACCACAGAACAACAGCCTTCCGAATCTGTGTGGGGTGTTTTTTTAACCAGCTAATTTACATTTTAATCAAAGGGAGGAGGGGGAAATGGCCCGTTTCTTTCCCACATCACCAGAAGGTAATCAAGATCATGAACTAGAGTTTTAATACATACAGAGAGAATAGCACGGTGATTGCAGTGAACCTGGAGCAAGGTACCATGGGAAGAAAAGGCCAAAGACTTTTACTGAACTGTTCTAAAACACTAATCCAGAGGAATGCAGGCAGATGAGAACAGCAGAGAGAAAGTGGATTTTTACAGACGTTCTTCCTACGTCCCTGAAGAAGAAGGCACGACAGACTAAAAAGGAATGTAAACCTCTCCAGGATGTGTCAGGAATACACATGATACAATCCGTCACGTACGTTTTTTAAAATTCTGACAAAGCTCAGAGTGTTAACCTCTACAAAGCTGCAGAAAACACAAATATTTCTATTCAAGTTAGACAACAATTCTCTAAATCAATGATTTATAGAAACTTGTGAAGGTTTCTGGAAATTATTCAGTACTACTCCACTGGGATATTTATAAATAATAAACTTTGCCAATAAAGATACAGCTGTGGGGAGGGAATCAAAAAAAAAAGAAAAAAAACTCATGATCTAAAACCAGGTCTCAAAATGCAGCCTAAAGAAATACATAGATTATTCTCGTGTGAGAAAAAAAGTCACCAATAACCAGTTGACCTAAAACTGGTAAAATCAATGTTACACATCCATACAATTCTGGATAATCAAGAACAATATCTTCTGGGTTATTTTTATTTTGTTTTGAATAGAAATGGCTACAGATTATGAACAGAATTTGATGAGGGAGAATACATAATAGCCACTTAAAGCTTGATTTAAGGATTATATGAAAAGCATTCTGCAATACTTAAACTATAATTATCTCCCAAATGACATAACCAACTACATCACTGATACCTAATAAAACAGCTAAAAAGGGTTAGATTTTTCATTCTCCTTTCTACTTTTCCTCCAAAAATCTCATTGATAGTCCTGACATCTAACCTCCCAACCAAAAGAAATCTATGACCTTCAACACTCTCTTCTCATCCTTAGCATCTCACTTTGAAAAGGGTAAAATTTAGCCTTAGATATTCGAAAACTTTGCTTAGCCTTCCTATATGTAATTCCCAAGAATCTGATGCTGATCAAAAAGTCAACAACCCAGTGAGTAGCTCTAAATTCCAGGTGAACAGCAAGGGTAAAACATGACTACAATGGACGGATATAAGAAACCAGTATTTCAATGCAAGGGCCAAATGGCACAAGTTTCTTCCTCCTAGCCTTGTAATTCCACAGACCCCTATGCCACACCCTGCTTTCAGAGCCACACCAAAACTACTACTAATCTTACGTACTCCAACGTTCAACACAACTCCACCGAGTACTTACTTGTCTTGGAAAATATCCTGAGCAGTTACTTGATCCTTTTTCTTGATGGCTTCAGTCAGAGGGAAAAGGGTCTTTATTTTAGAGAGAGGAATCTGACATTTTGCTGTCACCTCGGTGGGGGGGTCCAGCATATTCAAAATGTGCTGCTGAACCGGGGGCAGAGGCTCCTGCGGATGTAAAGCTCTGTGCAGCAGACACTGGCGGGAAAGGTACAGGATTTTAAAACACAGATGGAGACATCGTGCATGGCTTCTTTATATTTTCTGATCAGGGATCCCCCACCTTCAGTTTGGGAGGCCTAAGTGATTCATATTGATTCATATTGTATGTACAAGACAACAAAGAGGTTGGCCTAGAACCACCTTTATAAGCAAGACCTTGGCAATGCCTAACACCAACTGTGAAAACACATCCAAGCCTAGCAGCGATATCTTCTGTAGACTTCTTGGAAAGGAGCTTCACCTTATAAAAAGAAGCTGTTGCTTTAACTACTTGAGGAATATGCAAGATCCCCTAAGAAACCTAATTCCAAGGCCTTCTGACAATCTGGGATCATATCTTTTTCATTACAATCTTTTTACTTCCTTTAATCACACTGTGCTTCCTCTCTCACTTAATCTTAGAAAACGGTGTGTGGTGGATGAAACAGGTGGCTAAAGAGAGGCTGCTCGTGCTCAGTGAGTCCCAGGCAGAAGTCTGTGAAAGAGCTGAGAACACTGAGTTGCTTCAAACTTCCCAAGAGTGCCGAGCGTGCATTTTCTCCACCACGCGTCCTCCACCTCTCCCCTCCCCACTGCTACTGCCCTTGCCTGGGCCGCATCGCCTCTCCTCTGGCCTACCGCAGTCACCACCCACCTGGTCTCCCAGCTTCTCCTTCCACTGTCCCACTACAGTTAAGGGGTCTGAGAATGAGCCCCTCACCATACCCTGGGAAGTCCCACATGACGTGGCCCCGCCTGCCTCACTGATAGCATCACTGGCCACGCCCCTCCTCCCTAACAACCCTGCTCACTCCTATGCCAAGCTCATCCTGCTTTCAGGTCCTGGGCTTAATGCTCCCTCTGCCTCTTCTGTCTTTCCCTAGACCTTGAAAGAGTTGGCTCATTTTTATCATTCTGGTCTCTGCTCACATATTATCTCCTCAGAGAGGCTTCCCTGACAGTGTATATGAAGTAGCCCCTCCACCCCATCCTACCACCCAATCATTCTTAATCATTTCTCTTATTTTGTACGTCTTTATAGCTTTTATTATTACTTTATCATTACCTAAAACTACCTTATCCATTTTTTAATTTACTTGTTATTAAATCTAGGCCTCCTCCTGGAAAGTAGGGATCTTGTCTTCTTTACTGCTGAGTTCCAAACACCAAAAATAGGGCCTGGCACATAATAAGTACCTGACAGATACCGGTTGAAGGAATAAAGTGCTCTTTCCCAGAGCTCTAATTGTTGACAGAGAGGTCAGGAAGCAGCACCAAGAGTGGGGCCAAGATCAAGGCCAGGGCAGGTTTCCCACTGCCCATGTGAGTGGAGATCTGCACAACAAGCCACTTCCGTACACTGCCTTGACTCTACTGATGCAGGCCTCGGCAGTACTTATACCTGCCCGGAAAAGTAAATGCCCTAAAAGGAGTATAGAAAGGTAAGCATTTAAAAAACAAACAAACAAACAAAAAATAAATAAATAAAAGAGGAAGAAATGAAATGAAACTATTAGTTCATTGATGTTTTCTTTCCATTGATAAATTCCAAAATTAGGTGGGAGAATAAGGATCCAATTACTTCCACTCTTAAACAACTTATACGTTAGTAATTCTGAAGAAAAAGACAGCTTGGCATGGTGGTATGTGCCTGTAGTCCCAATTACTTGGGAGGCTGAGGCGGGAGAATCACTTGAGCCCAAGATTGTGTGCCAGCCTGGACAATATAGCAAGACCCTGTCTCTG